GTCTACATGCCTAAATGCACTGAGTTGCCGCCATGTGATTGGCTGATTAGAAATTAAGTGTTAACGAGCAGTTGGACAGGTGTACCTAATAAAGTGGCCTTGTTTATGTATTGTTACCCACAGAGATGATAAAGACGTGGACGTTCCTCCAGTCATAAATCCATCTTATTAATGTAAAGTGGGCTTCTGCTCTGATGATGAAGATGATGAAGATGAGCGTGCAGCAGAGCAGCAGCTCATTGTTTGACAGGCAGATATCAAAGCAAAACAGTGGGTTTGATTAAGATTACAGGTTTCTGCAAAAAAAGTTCTAAAAATTACATTTTCTTTACTTTTTATGATAGTTTTCTACTATATAATACACATTGTTAAGATATTTTCTATCATTCCCACAGTACTACTTCTGGGTCTTCAAGTTCAACTGCCTGTTCACCAAAACCTCAGAAAAAATAAATCTGTCAACAAAAACATGACTCAGCCATAGTTTTTCTCTTYATATGTTCTTATTATAGAGTCTAAATGGTGAGAAAAAGTCAAGCGATTAAGGAGAAATCAGCAGATTCCTACCGTCTGGTGCAGTAAGTTTCCATAGAGACAGTTAAAGTTTAAACTGGTTGTGAGGAGGGGAGCAGCAAGACAACATGTTACTTTTAAAAACAAGTCACGGCAGCTCCTTTCAGGACAAGCAGGGACACGCTGCTTCAGTTTGTTCAAAACACTATTTAGTCAGTGAAAAAAGAAAAAATGCTCTCGTCTTTGCTGACAGGGTTTTTCAACATGCGCAGAAAGAACTGCACCGTGTGTAAAAATGTACAGAAAAAAAAGGAATAACCTGGTGATGATAAGACTTGATTCAAATGAACTGATTATTTGCACCTTCAAAAGAAAATTTATTTCCACTTTTTTTGTTTCCTAAATCAATGTTCTGGTCAATTAAGCAGAAATTATCTGTTGATATAATTTAGCTAGAATCATCATTTGACAGGGAATTTGCCACAAAGGATTCAGCAGTTAAATAAAACAATTAGGATTCAGCCTTAATGTCCTATTTGTTAAGATMTGTTTTTATAAAATAAAGAAACAAATTTACTCACCTTTTGCAGCAGGTCATTGCAGCACAGCTTTGGTAAAGAGCTGCCAGTCAGCGAGACGCTGAGGCAGCTGGTTAGATTGAGGAAGTTCTTCTGTTCCTGTTTCATCTGGTTGGCAAGATTGGTGGTTTGAAAAGTGTAGATAAATAAAATGCAAAGCTTCCCTCAGAACAAATATTTTATAAACACACAGAGCAGAGGAGCATTTTGAACAAAAATATACACAACATATAGAAATATAGAAAACAGAATGCATCCCCCCCCCACCTTGTATTTTGTTTTATTTCCTGCTGTAATAAAACCTGTATACAATCCTGTTGGTAAAAACAAGAATGGTACTGAAATGAGACTCGTGTGAACGTTTCTCTCTCGGTCTCCTTTATCCTCCTGTAAATAGAAGATAAAGCAAAAGAACGGACTTTATTATTTTAATTAGACAGAACAAAAAGAAAGTTCTGCATGTTTCCATCCTTCAAAGAAAATGTGACAGAATTTCAGATCTTATTTCTACTTGCAAATGAGTTCTGATGGATCAACTACACTTATTATATTTTATGATAGATTTTATACATTAGTAAATGTTTGTGGCACATTGCATCTACACCTTTTTTATCAAAGTATTTTTTATTATTTTTTAACATAATCCACAACAAAAAACAATCTAACAAAAACACAAAAACCCAAAATCCCACCTATCCCACTCCTCCTATACCGGATCCACTGAAAAACAAAAGTCGATCTTGTATTAATACAAGTGATACAATGAACAGGTTTGTGTACAATGAAACAATATTTAACCTTTACACATAGTTATCTGCTGAAATCTTTTCTACATAAGATATAAATGGCTGCCAGATGTCAAAGAATTTGTTTACAGATCCCCTAACAGTATATCTAATCTTCTCTAAATGAATGTAAGACATAACTTCTCTTAACCAATGACCATATACTGGAGGATGTGGATCCTTCCATCGAAGAAGAACAAGTCTTCTAGCCAGTAGAGTCCATTGTACTGTAGTTTTAAGAAATACATCAATTTCGATACGGCAGAAAAACCACCTCTTCTTAGCGCAAAAACATTTTGTCGAAAAACATATTTTTTTTCTAAACTGAATTGTTTCCATTGAGCAAATTTATTTTCAAAATTCTAATTTACGCATTTTCATGGTCAATGGAAACACAGCTAGTGTCAGCTATTTAAAAAAACAGTATCGGCCAAAATTGGAATCGGCAGGTCAGACTTTTTAAAGATCGGAGAGTGGACACAAAACTGGAATTGGTGCACCCCTAGTACCAAAGTG